ACAGAAAAATAAAAAGAAAGTTTTCAGTGTTTACTGGTATCTAATATGTGCTTATTGTAAAAAATGTTAGCACTATAAGATGCTAGGGGAGACTGAATTATAAACTTCATTACAAAGAAAAATAAAAAGAAAGTATTCAGTGTTTACTGGTATCTAATATGTGCTTATTGTAATAAATATTAGCACTATAAGATGCTAGGGGAGAATGAATAGTAAACGTCTTTAAGCAGAAAACAGAAAAGAAAGTATTTAGTATTTAATCGTATCTAATAAATGCTTATTGTAATAAATATTAGCACTATAAGATATTAATAAATACTGAAAAACAAACTTCATTAAACAGAAAACCAATAAAAAAAATATTAGGTGTTTACTGGTATCTAATATCTGCTTATTGTAATAAATATTAGCACTAGAAGATGTTAGGGGAGACTGAATGATAAATCTCTTTATACAGAACACCAAAGAAAGAATTTTGTGTTTACTGGTATCTTATATGTGCTTATTGTAATAAATATTAGCACTATAAGATTCTAGAAGAAACTGAATGACAAACTTCATTAAAAAAAGAAAAGAAAGTATTTAGTGTTTACTGGTATCTAATATGAGCTTATTGTAATAAATATTAGCACTAAAGGATGCTAGGGGATACTGAATAATATACTTCATTAAATAGAAACAGAAAAAAAGTATTTAGTGTTTACTGGTATCTAATATGTGCTTATTGTAACAAATATTATCACTATAAGATGCCAGGGGAGACTGAATAATAAACCACTTTAAACAGAAAAAACCAAAGAAAGTATTTAGTGTTTACTGGTATCTAATATGTGCTTATTGTAATAAGTATTCGCACTATAAGATTCTAGAAGAAACAAACTCATTTAAAATTAAAAAAAACAAGAAAGAAAGTATTTAGTGTTTACTGATATCTAATATGTGATTATTGTGATAAATATTAGCACTATAAGATGCCAGGGGAGACTGAATAATAAACCACTTTAAACAGAAAAAAGAAAAGAAAGTATTTAGTGTTTACTGGTATCTAATATGTGCTTATTGTAATAAATATTAGCACTATAAG